GCAACATCGTTGTCCAAACGTTACGATAAGTAATAAAGTCCACTATGGAAGAGTATTATTTTCAATCAATTCAGTATGTCCTTCATATTAAACCAAACCAATGAAAAAAAAATATGTTATATGAAAAAAAACAATTCTAAAATATTTTTTGCCTTAGATAGAAAAATCGTCACGTTAAGAAATTCGAAACAACATATACGCCATCACCATTATAAACGATAAGAGTTGGTTGCTGAAAATTTTCTCTGAGAGAAAAGACAAAAAGAAGAATACTTTTTGAACGTTTTTGCAGAAAACTTTTCTTCAATAGATTTTCATCTAACATAGTAACATATACACCATTTTTTTATGACAAAGTAAATCACAGTCCTACTATGTAACATTAAACGCAAAATGAACGCGTGTTTCTGTGTTATTATTTCAAAACGTGGATCAGTCTGTAAACCGACAATAAGTGCATCAGTAAGAAAAAAAGTCTTTCTCATGCACTGGGAAAAATAGAAGCTATATTATATGGAACCAGATTGATATTTTAATCAAAGATGTGTATGATGATTTTGGTGTACGTTTGGGAGTACAAATGGAGATGAAGAAATGGCAAAATATTTAACTTCTATACTTCGATACTACTTTCAACTTGTGTTTTATGGACGCAGAACGAAAATACAAAAATTAAAATATGTGCTGCTTGATTTACATATGTTATCCTACTAAATGATGCCGAGAGATGAGTAAAGAGGGTGACGGCGTGGATGTGATTTTATCTCCATTTCACTTCCACCCATATCTCTCAAGATAAAATATAGTTCTTATCACACTCAACATAATGCGCAAAAACGATCAATAACAGTATCTTTTTTTTGCCTTGATTAATCAAGAAAATGATTTAATAGAAGTGTAAAATGAATACTAACCTAAGCTTTCATATTTCCGTCACAACTGATGCTTTCAAAACATTGAAAAAAAGTAGTGACAGCGGTGAGATTCGAACTCACGCCCTTTCGGACCGGTGCCTTAAACCGGCGCCTTAGACCGCTCGGCCACGCTGCCTATTAATCCCATTATCATATGAATTATCGAATCGTCATCATCACTTAAAATAACAGAATGGAAAAAAAACATATGACTATATAAAATATAATATTTAATAAAGACGTCATATCAAAATAAGTGAAAATATATGTTAAATAATTCGTGAATGTAGTTGTGGATCGATAGGTCAGTGCTGCCATCTTTCGAACTCCGAACAGCAACACTTTTATACCAACAGCAGAAGAAATGGTAGCTCTGGAGCAGATCTTAATATTTTCTTCGTTCACAGCCACAACCACACCCTCCCATCTTGAAGATGGTTTTGCGTCGAGAAACGATAAAATAAAGTAACGCGTTGAGAGAGAAGAAGAAAAAATAATTTTTTTGTCGTTGCATCTGTCGATATCGCAAAGTAAATATTTGCATGTTAAGTTTCAACATGCAGAAGATATAAGTGTTTGCCTGCGATCTCCGTAAACAATACTTTGAATTTTGTGTCGCTTGTTTTCGCATGTGTTATATTCGTGAAAACAGTAAACTTGTTGCTGAAAATCACAAGTAAGATATCTTAGCTCGAGATTGAACCATATTTAGAATGAATTCGTCTAGGGACTTATTTCAAATACAACACGATGTGTAGTTGGAAAAAGTCTTATTGGCGAAATTCGGGAATCTCGAAAACAATCTACAATGCACACTAATGTTGATTACTTGATAAATAAATAAGAATAGAATATTTTTAATCAATGATCGCTATAAAAATACTAATTTGACGTGACTATTTCAGATATATTCTATACTTCATTGTGTCGTTGTTATAACGATCTTGTGCATATTCAAAATGGCTGCATATACTGACGAAGAAAAGATTACACAATGTATATTACGTTTAAGTGATATTGCTAAAGAACCACATGAACTTCTCATGCCAATCAGCGGCTATGAGAAAATGCCAATTGTTTCACTAGAACAAGCTGTTGAGCCACTTGTCTGCTTTCTACCAACCGTTCAAAGCCATGTTTATGTGGCTAAACAGAAATGCAAACAGCCGGATGACGGTCTAACACAAGATGAATCAGCTTCAATTATGCTCTATTCTATGGGATGGAAACCACTTGATGAATGTCTCTATGTCGTTTTGAATGCCACATTACGATCAAAAGATAGAGGCAAACTCGAACCGTGGTTTCTTTATCTGAAACTCTTTCTAACTGCACTATCTCGTCTACCGACAGTACCAACTCTACATGTTTACCGAGGGATTAAATCAGACTTGAGCAAAGACTATATACGGGGTAAAACAGTTGTATGGTGGGGCTTTTCTTCATGTACTATGGTAATAGATGTTTTACAATCAGAACTATTTTTGGGCAAGACAGGTACAAGAACAATGTTCAACATAGATTGTAATTCAGGTAAAAGTATTGAAAACCATTCCTTTTATCCATCAGAAAATGAAATACTTCTATGTGCTGCAACTCAATTCGAGGTTGTTGGATGTCTCGATCAAGGCTCTGGTCTTCGAGTAATTCAACTGAAAGAAATTGTGCCACAATATCCACTTTTACAACCAGTTTCTTCTATTGGTAAGTGGAAAAATTTATGTAGCAAGAGAGGTTTTAAAAAGATAAATTTCTATGCATTTCAGTTAATCGTACTAAGAAGTATGTTAATCAACAAGCCGATAACTTCAACTTACATCAGAAACTTCGTTGTAAAGGGCGTGCTTGTCGTACTTGTGGTAAATGTCATGATTGGTCTTACACTGGTGATGTGACGAGTTGGGATTGGTTCCGTAATAGAGCTAATGCCGTATGGACCAACGATGATTACGCACACTGGAACAATAATCGTGTTTGGAATCATTTCAAACGTCGTGAAGGTGCTTCATGTACTTATTCTTTTGGTTCTTATTCTATCGGTTATTTTGGTTCTCTTATTCTTCATTCTGTAGGTTTTGTTCATTATTTATGTATTTGCGACAGAAAATAAATCAATTATTTCCTTTTTGTATTTATTATTTTCCGTTTTGTAGATGTTCATATCGTATCTTTTTTCTTTATTTCAACGAAATCATTGCAGTTTCTATTCATTGTGCAGTCGCATCAACGAATGATACATTTAAATTAGGAGTTGGTGTTGATGTAGATATAGAATAAAGACAATATACCACTCTTATTCGATCATATGTCAAGAACATCGATTTAACTGATGATTGGAAAAGAAATTAAGAAGATTTACAATGGATCTCTCAACTAATTTGAGATACTCAACATTGATCGATTAAATACCTATTTGATACCTAATTGTCAATTTCGTCAATTCCATTCATTAATATAGAATAGAATTCTAAAAGATCTTACTTTTTGGTTCACTAACTTTTGAATAAAATTTTTTTTGAAAGAATAGAACAATCGTCAAGTAGAGCTTATTTTGACTATCATATTGAAAGAAAACATCGATCACATACATTCATTACCATTTGTCTTTAATAAATTATATAGATTTAAATCGTGTTTAGAACTTAATTCTAATGTTTCATTTTCAAGTGTTCATTATCTTTATTTCTCGGAACTTTATGATAGTGATTTGATTTAATTTGAATGATTAGCAAGTCGTATGCCATATCTCAACTCAATCGAATGCCATATTTACATTGTTTGAATACTAATTAAGTTGGCTTTCTCTATAAACATCAATTAAACGACTTCTTTGGAAAATATACTATTGAAAATTAATTCGCCGTCATTTTCTATGACTCATTTCGTAATAGAAGTAACTCATTTGACAGAAAAGAAATTGAAGAAGCATTATCTATAAGTTCAATATTTTGCTTGATGATATCTGATACATTATTGTTATTCATTGATTTAATGGAAATATAAAGAAAGAAAAATTCTCGAATCTTAACTCTTTTTGTAATCATTGTTTCGTTCTTTCTTTTCTATTTTCGTCTAAATAAAAGACTAGCAATCAATAACTATGAAAAAGAGACGTAGCCATATTTCACGATTCTAAGAGTTTCATTAGAATCTTTCAAAATTTTTCTATAAATCCTATTATACATTACATCATAAAAAGAAAGAAATCAGATCAAGAGCAAACATCGTATTAGTCGCTTTCCTCTCACTCACACCCAAAATAATTAACTTTTTCAAATAATTTTTCGATACAATCGAAGTCTATTTTATTTTTGTTCTAGATTTTAAATTTTCTGTGTTAAAAGATAAATATCTGACAATTTTGTGTCGAATAAAAACTGTTGTCGATGTCTATCCAGATAATGATTCAACACCACTTTTGTTTTGAGGATGAACAATATTGTTGAGTTGAACATCGAAATAACATATTAATTTGCTCAATTTTCTATAATTAAAGATGAATTAATTTTACATTTTTTTAATAACAAACAATTTACTTACTGTTTTTGTTCTTCAAATGCTTGTAGTATGCTTTGTTCATCAAATACTTGTGGTATGTTTTGCTCAGTATATATCTCTGATTGATTATCCGATCCAGAGTCACTTTCGAGTTGTTTTCGTAAATGATTATTGGGTTTTATAGGTGTCACAGGCCAATAAAGTTCACCAATATGTATAAAACCATCTTGAAGAATAGTTTGTGTGTATTTCGATGATTCGAAATCGATCTGAACTCGTTCTGTTGGCACTTCTGATCCATTTGTCTGAAACCATCGTTTGACATATTTAATACCAGGGTAAGATTTTGATAATTTTTCTCCGAATTCATTCATAAGAATTTCTGTAGAAACATCATGGACAAGAATTTTATTAGTAACTCCATTTTCAAGATGATTTTGAACATTCGTACTTGGCTTTAAAGCCTTTACTGGACAACGGAGATTACAGATGTCAATAAAACCATTTTCAAGAAAAGTTTCGGTATGTTTTGGTGATGTAAAATCAATTTGAACAAGTTCCTTTGGAGTGTTATATTCATCATTCATGTACAATCGTTGAACATGTTTAATACCATGATAATTTGTTAACAGTTCTTTTCTGAGTTGATTCTCAGTTATGGTAGAAAGAACGCCACGAGCGAGGAGTCGATCAGTAACTTGCATGGTTGTCATTGTAATAATGATGTATTCAAAAGTTGACTATTTATATATAGTTTCACTCTTGATTTTTACCTCTTGATGATGTAAGAAAGTATACACATGACATCAGACTATTTTATTTTCTCGGTAACTATCGTAGATTACACCATATATGCGACAGATGCAATAGAAAAATATTGCATCGTTTTGTGAAAGAAACTCAGTATGGTGAGTAATTCTACATTTTCTTCGTCTGAATATTTGACACGTGTTTTTAGTGCGTCAAGAGTCTATGATAAAATATAAATTTTTCGTTCTTTCATAACAAATATTATATACGATTTAAAAATAACTGTAAAAGACGAAAAGATACAGAAAAAGCGTTTTCATTATCCGTTAGAACCCATTGCGTTTTGACAGAAAAAGACATTTCACTGTGTCTTCACGAATTTCTCAGAAGATTGCAGTACTATCTATGGCGAACAGCCAACATCATGCAAAAATATCGATACTCAGTTGATTAAATATCACTATCCCACATATTTGAGGTTGTACCAGTGAAGGTAATTGTTGGTGTAGAACGAATACAATACTCACTCACATCCTCTTTCGTAATATTTGTTTTTCGATATATTCAAAGCACAAGAAAAGAACAATTCAAATCATCTGATTTATGCATTTTAGCAATAACAAGAAAGCGAAATTTACATTGTTAAGAAACATCTTGACAATAAGATCTTTGTGCTGCTTTATGTACATGAAAGACATCAAAAGTATCATAGTCGAAACAAAATTAATGTTAAACAGAAGTAACTATGAGAGAACTATTGGTGCGTTCACAAAAGATTCATGCTGTTAATCAGTCGTTTAAAAATTCACGAGGAAAACAAATCTATACGTTATCTTGTTCTAATCCAAAACAGTTTATTATTATCAATTTTTTAGCTTTATATCAGTCAAGCAAATGAAAGACAACATAGTATTCAATAAACTATTGTTCTCTATAAAATACGAAAATTTTCAACTGATATTACATGCTTAGAACTGTGTGCTTTCACTAAAAGATATATAAAGAGCAAGGTACTCAATAAATGGATGTGTAGAGAAGAATAATGTTAAAGAAAATAATTGGGCACATTGAGTATTAAAACGATGAAGCTGGTTTTTTCCAACTATGAACTGAATAAATAATACTTTTACTACCGTTTTCGGATGAATCATGGCAATTATTTGTCGTAAAAAGAAAAGCAAAAAAAGGTAAAAGTACGACTTTCCGTCACATGTTTTAACTATATCGTCTCGATAGCGTATACACATTTTTTTCTATTCTCTTTCTTCACATTACAAATTATGATGCAAAGCATGGTAAAATTACTTAGATAAAATTTCTTTTTTTTTTATAGATAGACATGAATCCAATTAAACGATGGTTAAATGCTTATGACTCATCTAACGAAAAAAACAAGAAGTTAAAGAGCGATAAGTAAGAAACAATAGTATACATTTAATATTATTCAATTTTTCCTTATTCGCTTTATAGAACAACAATCAATTGTTTAGAAAATTTACCAAATGAAATTTTCTATGAAGTTTTTGATTATCTTGATGGATGTAAATTATTCAATGCATTTTCAAATCTTAATACACGTTTTCAATATTTACTTGCTTGTACATCTATTCGACTAAAGATTCGTCTCACCAATGCGTCAGAAACAGTCCTGCAGTATCAATCCGATTATATAATCACACCAAATAAACATCGAATTGTTTCCCTCAACCTAAGTGCAGACTACGGGTATTATCATCCAAATTTAAATCTATTTGATATTGACTCCTCATTCATTCGTCTTGAATCACTTCAATTATACAGTATTCAATCGAATCAAATTATACCTATTCTTACAAGTTTAATATCGTTAACTCGTCTATCATCATTGACTATCGATTGTATTGATGATGATCCGGATGATATTGATAATATATATCAAATAATTTTTAAATTGCCTATATTAAGATATAATAAATTATCATATTATACATTTGAATTGCCTATTCCTCTGTCGATTGCCACAAACACGCAATATAGTCATATTGAATATTTAGTTGTTGACCATCCATGTACTTTAAATGAATTGATTGTTATACTTTCATATACACCTCAACTATGTCGTTTAACTTGTCGAGAAATTAATGAGTCAAATGAAGAAGAAAATACAAAACATGTACTTGGTGTGATATCCAATTTGACTTATATTTCTATTAGTAAATGTTATGCAAAATTTGACGAATTGATACTGTTCATTACAAAAATATCACCACAATTACAAGTATTACATATCACTAGTTGTGGAGATACGACTTATTTGGATGCTGATCGATGGCAACGATTAATTTCGCAATATTTACTTAATTTACGAATATTGGAGTTTAAATACGAAGAATTTATTGATGACGATTTAGAAGTAACTCTTTATCATGAGCGACTTGATCGATTTTATTCATCATTTTGGACAAAACGAAAGTGGTATTTTAGGCTTCACATTGATACGGGCTATTTGTTAGATGATTTAATTGTTTATTCTGTATCTTCAGACAGGTAAATTAAGAAGAAATATTTTTATAGATAATTTTTTTGTCTCTTATAGGAAAAATCCTATGAGTGATATGGATCAAACTATTTCTCCTAATGAACACGACGAATCTATGTTGTCTTTAGAAGTTCTTTCTGAAACTAATCAATTAACCGTTATCGATCTTCCTCATATTGATAATGATCCATCGTTGGCTGTCACTATAGGTCCTATTTTACTTCTAGTACCGATTACATGTTTAAATATCACTCGTTGGGAGATTTTTATTGGTTCGTTGATTGAACTTGTGGTATGTTTACCTAATCTGAATTCATTATCCGTTTCATCTTTGACAATGATCAAACCAAGATGTTTATCTGTTGAAGAAACAACAACTCTTCGTTGGTTATCAAATAATAATGTAATAACAAAAGTAAAACTTCATCGAATGAATGATCTGGCAGAAATTCAATTTCTTTTTTACTTATGTTCTTCCATGGAATATTTGGAAGTAGATTGTACGGATAAAATCTGTCCCAAACAACTTCTACGATTTATTTTAATGAAAAATATTAAATCTATTCCTAAACTTTCTTCAGTCTACCTTGGAATTTTAGTTATGAAAGAGAATATAATCGATCAGTTGATAACAATGATTAATCTTGAACAATTATGTCATAATTATACAATAAAAGAGATACAAAACAAAATTTATTTACGATGGACTCGATGATACTTTCAGTTTTTTTCTTGCTATTAAATTCTTAATAAAATTACTTAAGAGGTGTTCATCATTCACCAACAACATTCGTTGGTGTTTCAAAAAGTGTCTTTTATTTTTTACAAAAAATAGTTCATATGCCACGGGCAGGAATCGAACCTGCGTTATCCGGACCACAACCGGATGTACTACCATTATACTACCGCGGCGAAAGTAGATTATAATAATATTTTTTTCGTTCTGTTTAAAGTTTCATATGATTTTGTTAGTAAACAATCACTATAATAAAGCAAAAATATACGATAATTGATGTGAGTATGACTAAAGAGAAGATAAACCTACATCCACACCCACATCCTTTTAAAGTATTTTACATTGATAACGAATAAAGTTCATTATAAGTATGAATACTCTAGTTTATTATTTAACCTGTAGACATACTCCTTACATATTCCTTTTTTTGATCTCTATAACTTTTTTAATAATCTATACAACACACTGTTCCGTGTCTTTTATTTTTACTCAAAGTTAAAGTAAATCTAGGAACGGAGCTCTATTGACCTTTATATGTATATAAATGATTTAAAATATGTCTATATCCATTAAAAATTATGCAATGTAAAATATAAACATCAAACAAAGAATAAAAACTAGATTGACGCCACATATCTACCTACAAATTATTCAAAATACAATTGTTGACTATAAGATCGATTATATGTAGTTTGTACGAGATTTCTGAGAAAGTAAAATTCACTCTTCATGAAACATTTGCTTTTCGTTTGTTTAATCATTCTCATCGATAAAGAATAGTGAGACAAACATCTATAGATTCGTCGAAATAATACTATAAATGTAGACAATCTATAATTTTCAACAGGCGTGGGTGAGTGTAAGCTGGAAGAAAATGCGCTCGCATCCATCCAGAGATGTTTTTTTAAGAAAAATAAAATATTAAAATATTTCATCGAATATTCTTTTATCTACAGACATATTAATTTTGCGTTATTGAACAATTCCTTGTTTTTCTCTTCAATATTTAACCATAAAAGACTAAAATGTATTAGATTTGTATTCTTCACCTTCAATATTAGTTATTCGTTCTGTACAATCTTTCGCAATCAAATGGATACTTGAAGAAAACTAAAGAGAAAGAAACGTCATAATGACATGATTTCATTAAACGAAACATTGGCAAAAAAAAGAACATTCGGTCGCATACAATTTGATTAATTAAATAATAGATTATGAAAATATTTTCAAACTAATGATCTAAAATTTAAATTGTATTGCAATAATTTCATTTAAAAGAGTTTAGAGTAGAATTGTTGCAATTTGCAGAGTTCGTAAACTTTAAATTAGAATAAGCTTTTTATTTATCAGAGTCACTGTAATTTGCAGAGGACACATATAAACAAACACTAAGAAAGCACTTAAAATCTAACAGAGAATTCAATATATCGCACAGAATGAAATTGCATGAAATGATTTTGCATTGTTGAAAACGTGATAATGTTATAGCATGAGCAAGCATTGTGAAGAACGGAGAAAAAAACAAAGAGGTATTTTAATAAGGTTTATTACAATTCGTATGATCAGGATTCAATATCTTGAATGTGCGTGTACACGTAAATACTTTCTTCGCACGACAATCCACACCCATCCTTCAAATTTTATGACATATAGAATATTTAATACTATACAATTATTAATAATTAAATTAGTTTACTTTAAATGATTAGTCTATGTTAAAGTAAAACTAAACGCATCTAATTGTAATTTTTCTTTATTCTTCTATTTCATCTAGATAGTATACATTATGTACCACGTGCGTTCGTTTAATCTTTCTTTCTCATTGCTTATATTTCTTACTACATAATAAGAAAAAGCAATGTGTGCAATCAGTCATATCGCTATATACACATTATACATATACATGGACAAAGTATTCAAAATATGAGTAGTGAGAGATGCATGAAGAAGAAGGTCGAATAATAAACGATATTTATTACAATAAATTCTTTTATATATCAATGAAGATTTTACCGATGATCGACAAATATCTTCGAGCAAGTATGAAAAATTCCCTGATACTATATTTATATTTCTAAACATATGTCACCATCACATAAAAATTCTCAGGTATGGATATTTTTCAAAGCGTTTTTGAACTAGGTTTTGTGTACGATTTGAATAATTATCTTCATAAAATAATGCTAGACGACTTCCTTTTCAAAAGAACACTAACGGATAAAATACTTGAATTGTTTTAATGAAGATAGATAGAGATCTCCAGTTTTCGCCATTTGAGAGGGGAGATATAGAACACTTATATCTTTGTCGAAAATAGTGCTCTCCAAAGTAACTTTTCATTATATTGCAATATAATGAAACAACTGGCTACATGAATAAGTGTTTAACTAATGCAGCTCTTTTTTAGATAAAATATTACTTACTATCTCAAGAGTTCATGGATTTTGACAGAAGATTCAACAATTGATATGTTGTATTATTGATTTTTGTTGAAACCGAATAGAATGGATCAGTTATTCTCCTCTACAAAGTCGATGAACGTTCTTTTTTTAATTTTAAATATTTTACAAAGTTCTACTACCAGATTAAAACATGAATTAAAAATATTAAGAGAACAGACAGTACAACAAGAACAATAATCAAAAGAAAGAATTTCGTTAATTTAATAATCATAAAATACCAAACGCTGCTTCACGACATCAAGCATCTCCGCCATCGCTTAAAATTATACATCGTCATCATTATCAACAGTCATTACACTTTCAATTCCTGATTCAAGTCCTCCTTTGAAGAAAAGTAGGTGTATAATATGTCAAAAATCGATATTGGCTTACCTTATGATCTCTCACAATATTTTTCATATCATATATATATACTTTGTAGATCACCTGACTCTGTGACGCTCGGCTTATTACTGCCATTCAACTAGACAATGATGAACACGAAAGCAACTCTACAGAATAGGTTTGCATTGATTTTGATAATTGTTATTACTCTGTTATTGTTTTATAATGGTTATAATTGTTTTGGTAATACAACATATATGTTGTCTCATCAGTTTAATAATAATGATACAAGTAACTCGGGTTCCAGTGGTATTCCATTACCTGCATCATTCGCCTCGCATTATTCAGGCAGTAAAGACGTTCCTTTAAGTAGCGGTGCATTGAATTTATTTTACAGTTCATTCCA